GGGGCAATATGCTGACTCTGTAAACCGCTTAGAGAGGGCTGAAAGCCCTATGAAGCGGTATATAAGTCTAACTGCTATTGCTATTGCTATTCTTCGTGCATACACAGAACAATTTACAGTGAACTGCGCATGCATGCGCACTACTAAACAACATTCCGGGAATGGCAGCAGCGACCAGGGAACTGGTTTGGGGGCATGGCCAGCCTGGGTCGCTGCCACTTATGCGAACCAGGCCAAAATACCACTACCAGTTTGGCTGAACTGATATGAACTGGGAGCAACCCACCTCTGGTCAATTCAGTATAATGTGGTATATGACAAGGAGCAGCAACTGCCCTCAACTTATTCTAATTTCAAACTCAATCAAATTACTATGATATAAAAGATGGAAGATTCTACAAAGGACATTTTATCATATTTGGATTTTTTTTTTAAAAAAATAGTACTTTAAATAATTATGCACATTCTTTGCTTTTGTGACATCCCAAATCTGATCTTGACACAAACTAATGGTAAGCTACACACTGCTGATAGTAATTTTTAATCACCTTTTATTATTTGATACTATTCTCTGTACTACTCCTTTATCATTTCAACTAATGTAAATAAATGGTAATGAGATTCAGTCTGGTGTAGTGATTAAGGGATCAGATTAGAAACTGGGACACTGTGAGTTCTGGTTCTGCCTTATATATGAAGCCAGCTGGGTGACCTTGAGCTGGTCATTTTCTCTCAGTCCTAGGAAGGAAGCAATGGCAAACCACTTCGCAAAAATCTTGCCAAGAAAACTGGCAGGTTCCAAAAATTGAACACAATTGAATAGAAGAAAAATTAGCCATATGTAATAGTTCTGTCCTCAGTTATAGTATAATGCCCTAATATGTCCTAACCCATATTTAAATGTTCAGATTTATAATGAATACTGCTAAAATAAAATGTCACTAAATGTTATCTTTTTCTTGCATGAAGCTGATATTTAATTCGAGCAGAAGAAACAATGAATTTGGTCCATCAAAATAACCTCATTTTCAATTCCTTAATCATTTTTGATTTATACAGGTAGGAACCAACTCTGAGTGATGAAACTTAAACAATGTGTCATGGAATACACGGGGTCTAAAAATAATAGTTAGAAAAATGAAAGTCAGAATGGAAAATAAAGCACAAAAATGATGCAATTGGGGCCATATAAGCTTTGCTATTATTCATGCTGTCTAACAACAAGCCAAAAGAGCCTGATTTTAACATGTGGCAATGACTACACCGCACACCCATTCAGAGAAGAGAAGAGGGCTGGACTGGCCGTGGACTTGTATTTCAATATTGGCAGTAGGCTGCCTTTTCTGAAGGCGACAAAAAGGTTAAGGAATTCACTGAACTCTGTCTTCCAATGTCAGCATTCATAGCTGATGGCAGATCATTTCTTGCTTGCTTGAATGAAGCAGAAGGTGAACAGAATAATGCATGAGAAGGTATAATGCATTTGTAAGCTGACCTGGCTGCTTCACTCTGTATCCTTAGGGAATAATATCTATAAATGCCAGGAGAAAGCAAGTAGGTGAGTCAGACAAGTAAAGGAATAAGTAAATGCTGGTACCAAATCTCAACTTTGATGAAAAGTTGTAACCAAGGAGCACTACACACACTTTGGTAGTACCTTTGGGATTTTTTTTTTTAAAAAAACCTGTGCTAAAAAAAACCTTAAAGATTCTGGGGAATCCTTCCAGAGAAAGGGATTTCTAATGAGAAGATTCTTGAAGCATCCCCTCCTCTGCGATGTAGACTTTGGGGACTGAGATCCACACAGATAATTCTGATGCCATCAAATCCTATAAAATTTGTAACACTACCCCCCACAACTCCAATATTAACTAGATACTTAGAATAACTCTCCTAAGAGATCAAGCGGTCAGTGCAGAAAAGTTCAACGCCCTCATCAGAAGCTTTGCAGCCTCAATGTACTTATGGATAGCAGGAAGCTGTGCATGGGTTTTCACCCATATCACTTGTTTCATACCTACAGCCGCAAGTGAGGGAGGACCTGGCCAGTATTCTGTCTCAATCTTTGGAATCTCGTTGGGTGCTGGAGCATGGGCTGCTGGGAACTTGGAGGACTTGATGATATCATCGAAAGACTTGTTCTGGGCTGCCAGAGCAGCTGCATCTAGACGGTAATTAGGGGAACTTAAAACTAGCCAATTAAATTGCTTTGTTATGGCCTAGATTAATGCTATGGTTCTATTATATTCCAAAGTCTCTTACAATCATATTTTTCACATTCTCTTTTAGTAACAGATAAAGTCCCAATTTCCGTAATATGTAAATTCCTGACATTCCTGAGAACTTCAATTGTGCATACAAATAAAGCATTAACACAAGAACCAAAGGAGCATTTCTCTCCTGGACTGAGCCTCATTCCCTCCTACTCAATGTAAATGAGGTCCATAATTCAAAAGTTGCTTCTGTCATAAGTCTTGCTTGTTCCTCATGTTTTGTTTCATTCATAAAACATGTTTATTCATTTAAATAAAATATTCCTTGGAATAAACAAACTAGTCATTCACAATACCATGTAGGGGGGCATACAAAGGAACATGTAACTACAGGGAAAAAGTGGAATCCTTGGCAGAATTAGGCTCTTGACAAATTACCCATGCGGGAATGTAGCTCCTAACAAAATAGATAAAGTTTGCCTAGTTATGATTTCAATCGTCCCTATGGCCCTATTTAAAATAGAGTTACCTGTTAGGCATAGAATCCATAGGTACACTGACAGTTGATCAGAGTGGTATGTTTATTATCATTCATCTATTTACAAGAATCTTGCCAGATTATCTGCACTCTACAGAACTAGATAAATTCTCCAGGGTTTAGGAAGGGTCATTGTCCATCTGCTTCAGGGATTCCAGGCTAGCTAATCTCTTAACTCCTCTTCCCCATTTCAGCTGAAGTTTCCACACATCACTGTACAATAATACAGGTAGTCCTTGACTTTTGACCCAAAGTTGCTTTTTCAAGTGGCAACTGGACTTTCTGTTTTTTTCCTTGAAGACGTTTTGCTTCTGATCCAAGAAGCTTCAGCTCTGAAGAAGCTTCTTGGATAAAAAGCAAAATGTCTTCAAGGAAAAAAAATCAGAAAGCCCAATTGCCTCTTGAAAAAGCATCTTTGGGACAACCATGACCTGGATGACTGAGAATCTCTTTAGACACTGACTTTTGACCATTCAGGTAAAAGCATTTTGATGGTACGAAGGCACTGAAAGTGACTGATCATCCCTTCTTGAAGTTTCAGACACTGCACTATTCCCATGGTCACATTTACTAGTTTGCATCTACAGTGTTCTGTATTCACTTGATTGCTATTTGTGACCAGTTGGCTTCCAAGAAATAAACTCAATGGGAAAAATTGGATTCACTTAACAATGACGTGACCGATATAATGACCATATGATTTGTGTAATGACCACAGTGGTTTACTTAACAACCATGATAAAAAAAGCTCATAAAATTGGGTATGGTCACATGATAACTTGCTTAACGATCATGTTATTTAGCAATTGAAATTCTGCTTCCAAATGCAGTCATAAGTTGAGCACTACCAATAAAGGCACATTTAAAATAGTGGCAATTTACAATGTGTAGAGCTAGCAACAAATTCAGAAAAGTAGATATCCCTAGGCGGAGTCCAGTAGAGAAAATTGGCTATTTTCAGTCCAATTATGTAAATAATGCTAGGTCTGTATACAGCTTTTGAATGGTTGGCAATATGCAAGTTTACTAGAATAACAGAAGCTCTATATAGGAAATTTTAATATAATAATAATGACAATAACAGCATTTTTTTCTTTGTATAAGGAATGTAACAGTATATTCAACCTTTCTATATCATTTCCTGATCAACTAATTAATAAACAATTTCTGATAAATCCAGAGCTATAGAGACATAACTGAAAAATAATGGATTTCATTTATGTCACTGAAAACGTTCGGTGAGAACTTCTAGAGTTTATATCAGCATTTGCCTATCTATTTTCATTTTAACTTTTTATATCCCAGGATTCACTCAAGCAACACAAATTTCATAAGGGAGCATCACCATGAGATGAACCTCAATTATGGTAAGGTCAGCATATTGTTGTTGCTATATAGATAGTGCTTATGGCAATTTGTTTAATGGCTGTTAAGTTATGACAGTACTGGAAAAAATAGCTTACAGCTGGTCGTTATACTATCAACCATCACAGTGTATCTGTACTCACACAATCTAAATTTTGGCACTTAGCAACTGCATGCATTTACAGTATCCTAGAATCATGGGATTTGTGATCTGCACAGGAGGCTTCCAACAAGCAAAATCAATGGAAAAGCCAGATTTGCTTAATGACTGCAGTGATATGCTTAACAACCATGGCAAATAAGATAGTAAAATCAGGTGTGTCTCATATAATGACTGCATTTCTTAGCGACCTAAGTTCCTAATTATGGTCATAAGTTGAGGACTACCTGATATATTCAATGCACAAAATTGAAAAAAATCCTAAAAATTTAACCAAGTTTCTAACACTTGTTGTAATATGCAAGAAGTATGGGGGGGGGAAATAAAAAGCATCTAATAAAAACTCAAAATAGAATAGTTCCATCATATGGGAACAAACGGGATTTTAAAAAATGATAAATCAACATATTTTCAGATGTCAGACATTTAAAACACAGAGACCTTTTTTTGAACGTGTAAGCAAGATCTCTGGAAGCATACTTGCATCAGAAATGATTTATAGCACTTGAACAAATTAAACTTATTTAAACAATAAAGTTAGTACGTCTGTTAAAGTGAATAAAGCTTTTTAATCCATTGCAAAAAAATGTGCTACTTCAATGCTATGGTTTTTAAACAAGCTTTAACAAGAGAATGGGAAACTTTGCCTAGCCTCTCTAGCAGACATTTTTAAAATATGATCAGTCCTTCTCATTACAGAGATTTATATCCAAGGCAATTTAAATAAATGGACTTTTAAAAACATGCAAAATTGCAATAATAGCAACCAATTCAAAATATGGCTTCTGCAACTCTGCTGGACTTCTACAACATTTTTCCCCACCATCTGTAAAAATTTAAGACTTGTTAAAAAAAATGAGTTAAAATGAACGTTATTGTATAGGATTGTGGGAGGGTTGTTGTCTTGTTAGTGAATAATTATTTTTCCCACTGAACTTTTTCTTCAAAGCCCCACTACGCTTCAATTGTGCATGCAGCTGACCATTTACATATTTGTTGAAATGGCTGCAAAGAAGAAAGCTGTATTGCAAGAGAAACAAAATTCCTGGTTGTTCTGGAATCTTGACTTCTGGGAAATCAAAAATTCTATTTTCATGTCTTTGCAGCCATGATATGCTAAATGATGAACCTGAACCATGAATTGCCAGCATGTTTTCATTCCTTCCCTTCGAGGTTTCATGTGTGCCAGGTACACAAAGCTACTTTGAGAGCAACTGTCCAATCTAGTTCTAATGGATAAAAAACAGCTACCTTGGCTTATTGTTTGATACTACAAAGGCACGATTTCAAACAATACTTACATATTGAAATGGATGAGTTCAGTGGTAAAATATTCACAAGTAAATGGGAGATGAGATGATACAATAAAATCATAAAGAAATAAAAATAACATTAAGAAAAGGTGAAATGACAGGGTTAAAATTTTAAAATAATATGACACTGTAATATAAATGCAACATAATAATCAATATTTGCTTTCAAGCAAACAAGTCTTGTTGTATTCTATGTTCTAGGGGGAAGGGGCCTTCAATTTTCATAGAATTTGGTTTGCCTTTAATGTTTTTATGGAACATTTATTTACGGAAAGTTTATATTGGTCATTCCATTTTGGGCATTAAATACCATGCCTATAACTGATTAGACTGGTATTCCGAGGATTCTCATTTTTGTTCTCTCTCTCTCACAATTCTGGTAATGGAATACCATACTAGGTATGATATCATACTAGGCGCCTTGTGGGTTAGAAGGCTATATCTTTCTTTCATTTACTTAGAATAAAGCTAGATTAGGTATTTTAGGTTTTCTATTACATGTGATTCTAATAAAATATATTCTTTTTTCTAAAAGAAAAGCATGAGAAATCCTTCGTTGATTTACTCTATTTGTTTATTTCTTATAAGCATATCTTACTGTATATAGCTATTCCTATACTTGGCATATGTACAAATCGACTGCCTTTTGTGAGTTGGTGCTTGGCTTCAACTTAGCAGAGATTCTTATTAGTTACCCTTTAAGTTAGGTCAAGCACAGCAGGACACAGTAGGGAGGATAGAGAATAAATTTGGCCGAGAATCGGTCATTTTGCCAACCCTTCTTCCATTGCAATACACTCCCTCAAATCAGAGGAATGGTTCTGAAACTAGTTCAAGGTCAGTTTGAACTAGCTTGTTTTCTCAGGTAGTCTGTTTAACCAGGTGAAGTTAACAGATGAGAGTTCAGAAAGAACAACCACAACCAGACACCCTTATGTCTTTTTAAGAGAATTGGTCCACGTGGTCTCCAAACTGACAACAAATGTGGTCCTTGGGGTCAAAAATCTTCAGGAATAAATAAAATACATTTAAATTAAACAAACATGTCATTAGAAATAGAGCAATAAAAACTGCAGTAGCAAGGAAATGTGCGTGCAGTAAACGCTTCTGAATTATCCAGTACTATTTTAAGGTTTGGGCTGAGATTATCCCTTCAAATATTATTAACTGGCCATAACCATATTGAGAAATACAAAAAGCAAGCTAATATAGAGATCAAATTGTTGGACCAAGTTTGGTTCTGTTGAACCACAGAGCTTAATAACTGATTGTATGTCACTCATTGTAGGTCAATCCTATTCCTGCTACACAGATTTTATTGTGGCAATCAGGCATTTTCAGTTTCTGGGGTTGGTTTAAAAACAACTTCTTATATTATCATTTTAAAAAAAACAAAGCCAGTTTGAAATATTGAAATGAGCACCAACATACATTTTATGACAAAGGGGGTCCTGTATAAAGAAATAATATAATGAATTCATCTGCTGTAGCAAATGGCAAGCTAAAACAGAGAGGCATATTATGTAACCTACATCATTTAAATCTAATTTATTTTCCTCAACACAAAGAAAGAAAGAAAATAAAAGAAAAATACTTTAACTTTAAAAGTAAGCAACAATCAATTAGTGTTGTATGTAACATTATGAACAAAAGAATTTTATTGTTCATATAAGTATTCAATCATTTGATTACCCCATTTTGAAGACAGAAAGAATAAAGTTTACCATGCTGTTTGTAGATGGGTGGTTTTCTATAAATATTGATCCCTTGATCTGTAAAAAAAAAAAAAAAAAAAAGCAGAAAAATGTGAACAATTTTACATTTTTAATAATTACACAGGGAAGAAAAACAACAACAACATAAAATGAATGGATGTTTTAAATCAAGGACTTGGCACATGAACTGAAAAACCATGACACAAAACTGCTAAGTATCTTATGAAAGAAACCCAAATTCACACAAATGTAGAAAAATATCACAGACACATGATAAGAAACACGACTGGCCACATGGGATGTCTCTGAGTGTTAGCCTTTCTGTTTGTATTTTAGTGGGTTGTTGGTGGGATAAAGATTTCAAGGGAAATTAATGAAGGTGCCTTGTTTGGAAAGAAGAATAATTTGCAGAGAACATAGCTCACCATATCAACTGGGAAACCTGGCCAAAGAAGCTCCATTTGTACTCCAACCACGGACATTAATGATGTGCATTTATATAAAGTTTCAGAAATTGCTTCTAGAGTTCCCTTTTGAACTAGAGTTATTTTCTTCAAGACTATATGGCACTTTAGAAAATGTTTTTGCCATGTTGCTAGGTCTGGGCCAGCTTATATTTCAAAAAGTTATGCACCTTTTCTGGGAATTTTATGGCAAATCAGTATTTTCAAAGTTTCAAATTCTAATAGTTTTAAATAGGAATGTTTTTAAAGAAAAACAAGTTTGGCTATAAAAGGAAAACTCCACATTCTGCTGAAAATATAGAAAAACAATAATGCTAATAATTGCTGTTAAGAGAGGATTCTTAGAAAATATGCTCCAAAACCAAAATCATTTTTGGGTTAAGAAATTTTATCATCTACGTATGTTTACTCACGAGCCAGAGAAAAATGGGAGTACTATTGAGTCCATTCCTTATCATTCTTATACACACTTACACAGAAGTAAGAACCACTGTGTTCAATGTAGTTTATTTCTAAGTATGCATATAACTACAAAGAGCTGAAAGCAGGTATTTATAGGCATTATATGGTATATCACTCTTATATTAGACAGTTTATTGCAAATTAATTAACACGGCCAATCAAAATCTTGGAAATGGAAAAAAATGTGTTAACAGCTAAGAGCAATCATTAAATGCTGTATTTATTCCTGAAATTTTAAAATGATTTCTCCTTATCAGGTTGCATCTTTTTTCTTTGCTAAACAATGCCACAATCTTATTTATTCTTTTATTTATAAGATTCCTAATTTTTTTATAAGAGCTCATGGGAGCTAGCATAACAGTCTTTCTTTCATCCCCCCCCCCAACCTGCCCCACAACAACCCTCAAGGGATTAAGCAGTAGCATTGGCTAGAAATCACATAGTCAGTTTTGGAGAACACTAAGTGTGCACTGGAAGTAGATGATTGTGAAGTTAAATGTTCTGTTGCAAGTTGCTCTATTTCTGTGCTGAAAGAATCATATAGTAATCGCTAGAAAAGATATATTTGACATATTTAACAGCAAATATCCCTAAAGCAGTGCTTCTCAACCTTCCCAATGCCACAACCCTTTAATACAGTTCCTCATGTTGTGGTGACCAACCATAAAATTGGTGTCTCGGTTCCTAAGACCATAGGAAATATGTGTTTTCCAATGGTCTAGGGCAACCCCCGTGAAAGGGATCCTGACCCACAGGTTGAGACACTGCCCTAAAGGGATTGACATTTCTCTCTTCTAAATCCATTGAAACAAGATTGCTCTGTGACACAACAATTTGCCATGTGTAACAGGATCACTTCATGCTGCATATTTAGTATGTACATCTAGGGCGAACCTATAGCACATGTGCCAGAGGTAGCACACAGAGCCCTATCTGCTGGCATGCATGATGTCGCCCTAGGTCAGATCTCTGTGGTGTTTCTTTCGTGAGCTTCTGTTTCTCTGCAAACAATGAAACAGGGTCTCTGTTGCGCATGCGCACATTAATGCATTTTTGCGTGTCTGCACATGCACACATGTGTATGCACACACACATCTTTAAGTTTGGGCATGCACATGTGCGCAATTTGGCCTTGAAGAACTGGCTTGCCCGTCAGGCCTGGGGATAAGGATAGTTACCCCTCCCGAATGATAAATGTATGTTGCTTACTATTTTATTATATGTGTCTATCTAATGTCTGTATTCCCCCTTCCCGGTTTTGTGTGAGCCGCCCTGAGTCCCCTCAGGGAAAAGGGCGGCCTACAAATACTAATAAAACCATAAAACCATAAAGCAAAACCAGATAGATAGATAGATAGATAGATAGATAGATAGATAGATAGATAGATAGATAGATAGATAG